ATTGTGGGCCGCATCCACACAATATATATTCTACCTGCATGGGACTAAGGATGTCACATGGGCCACAGCTGTAGGCTGAGAACCACTGGAATAAACACTCACAAGTCTGAAAAACAAACTGTCCTTCTGGCTATATAGCTTATTAGCATATCCCCTAGAGACAAAGGCTGACATTCTAAAGCTTAGGGCCTACAATTTCTAAGCTTGAGTAGCCTCGAGAAAAATACTTAAATAAGTCCCCAGCCATGCAATTAAATCAACACATGCACATTTCTGCACCCACACAGAGCCCCACTGACTTCAAGTACTTGACAAACAAGTTGCAGAATCAAGATCTATGTGGTCTGCTTTTCAGAAACATAAGTACCCTCAATTCCTACTAAAGTCTGAGTTACAAATGCTCACTAACTCTGAAGAAAAAGGCCACTTACACAGGTGCCTAAATATAGGAGCTTCAATTGAGGGCATCCAAGCTTGAAAATTTTGGACATGCAGAGAAGATCTATTCAAAATGCTAAAACGATTGAAACATGGACTCATGAAATCCAGGTAATACAGAAAAGAAAACTGCCAACAGGTAAAATTAAAGATTTTAAAGTTTTGTGGAAACTGTATCCAGAACAACATTCTGCCTTTTTGTTCTCAGAAATTACTACTTAAGTTGGACACTAAAGGAAGACTTAGTTGGACAAGCTAAAGAAAAGACATGTATTGGGTTACATCTACTTAAATAAAAATAAAGGAAAGAAATGAAAAAATTGTGTTTTAAGTTCTGAGTTTCATATACATCCATCCATCCATCAAAAAGTTACAATGATTTATACTGTACATTTAAAAAATGCAGTTTCACATAAGCCACAGAAATACAATTCCTTCAAGGGCCACTTTCTGAATAATATGCCATTCTTGACATCCAAAACCAGACACAAAACTTCAATGTCAAGTTGTTCTATTATCTACAAACATGCTGGTTTTCAAATTAGTTATATTTTCAATGATGATTGCACTCTCAGTGTGACCCCATTCTGTGATGTTCCATTTGATAGCATCAAGAAATTTACACATTAAGTGGGGAGAGTGAAAAAGTAATAATAGACCACTGTTCTTGGCAGTGGGTCACTGGAGGCAATGGGTACTCTGTGGGAAGCAGAGATCTGCCAATGTAAAATAGCTTGCAAGACCAGGACCATAATATTTAGAGATAGAAGAGACCTAACAGACCAGAGGCTCTCGAACTTTTTCACAGCGTGAACCACTGTAGTATCAAAATGGTCCACTTTAAACACAGAGCTTATCTCGGACACCACATCTCATTTGCAATCATGAAGACCACCTCCCTGCTCCTTCATAATTGTGTAACATCCTGTCTCAACTGAAGTGATTGCTTACAATTAGGGCTGTCAATTAAATCACAGTTAACTCACACGATTAACTCAAAAAAATTAACTGCAATTAAAGAAAGTAATTGTGATTAATTGCAGTTTTAATCGCACTGTTAAATAACGGAAGACCAATTGAAATTTCTTAAATATTTGTGGATGTTTTTCTACATTTTCAAATATATTGATTTCAATCACAACACAGAATACAAAGTGTACAGTGCTCACTTTATATTATTTTTATTACAAATATTTGCACTGTAAAAATGATAAAATAGCATTTTTCAATTCACCTCATACAAGTACCATAGTGCAACCACTTTATCATGAAAGCATAACTTACAAATCTAGATTTTGTTTTGTTACGTAACTGCACTCAAAAACAAAACCATGTAAAACTTTAGAGCCTACAAGTCCACTCAGTCCTACTTCTTGTTCAGCTAATCGCTAAGACAAACAAGTTTGTTTACATTTACGGGAGATAATGCTGCCCGCTTCTTATTTACGATATCACCTGAAAGTGAGAACAGGTGTTTGCATGGCACTTTTGTAGCTGGCATTGCGAGGTATTTACATGTCAGATATGCTTAACATTCATATGCCCCTTCATGCTTGGGCCACCATTCCAGAGGACATGCTTCCTTGGTGATGATGCTCGCTAAAAAAATAATGTGCTAATTAAATTTGTGACTGAACTCCTTGGGGGAGAATTGTATGCCTCCTGCTCTGTGTCTTACCCGCATTCTGCCATATATTTCATGTTATAGCAGTCTCGGATGATGATCCAGCATGTTGTTCATTTTAAGAACACTTTCACAGCAGATTTGACAAAATGCAAAGAAGGTACCAATGGGAGATTTCTAAAGATAGCTACAGCACTCGACCCAAGGTTTAAGAATCTGAAGTGCCTTCCAAAATCTGAGAGGGATGGGGTGTGGAGCATACTTTCAGAAGTCTTAAAAGAGCAACACTCTGATGTGGAAACTACAGAACCCGAACCACCAAAAAAGAAAATCAATCTGCTGGTGACATCTGACTCAGATGATGAAAATGAACATGTGTTGGTCTGCACTGCTTTGGATCATTATTGAGCAGAAAGCACCATCAACATGAACGCATCTCCTCTGGAATGGTGGTTGAAGCATGAAGGGACATATGAATCTTTAGAGCATCTGACACGTAAATAACTTGCAACGCCGGCTACAAGAGTGCCACGTGAACCCCTGTTCTCACTTTCAGGTGACATTGTAAACAAGAAGCAGGCAACATTATCACCTGCAAATGTAAACAAACTTGTTTGTCTGAGCGACTGGCTGAACAAGAAATAGGTCTGAGTGTACTTGTAAAACTTTCGAGCCTAAGTTGTTTTATTTTCAAATGCAGTTATTTTTTGTACATAATTCTACATTTATTAGTTCAACTTTCATGATAAAGAGATTGCATTACAGTACTTGTATTAAGTGAATTGAACAATACTATTTTTTATTTTTACAATACAAATATTTATAATAAAAAATAAATATAAAGTGAACAGTGTACACTTCGTGTTCTGTGTTGTAATTGAAATCAATATATTTGAAAATGTGGTAAATATCCAAAAATATTTATATAAACGGTATTCTATTTTTATTTAACAGCGGGATTAATTTTTTTTAACCACTTGACAGCCCTACTTACAATGCTTCCCTAGTGGCCCTTTTCCATGTATTTGCAGCTGTCTTCATGCAATATAGCAGCTGGAGAGGAGGAGGGAACCAGCATAATGTTAACTTGGAGGTTTGCACAGACTACACTTTGAGACCTTCTGTAATAGATTATCCAGTCCACCTATCACCAGTACTGGACTGACCTCTGCAGTACATTTTCTAGTGCTATTTCCAGTCTGCTGTTAGAATTGTTAAGCAGAGTGGCTTCCCTAGGATGCTATTAAACATAAGTGATCTGGACACTTATGGATATAAAAAAAATGTAAGACTGATGGAAATAATCCAGCTGTTTGATAGGTCTTTCTCTGCTCAGCCAATATATAAATATAAATCTATTACACCCTCCTTTACTATTTCATATTTGTTATTGGATCAGAGAATAGGTGATCCAGAAGAATACACGAATGAAGATCAACAGGCTGTACATAGTACAAAAGAGCTTGGTATGTAATTATCTGCAACACTTACTGTTATCTGAAAATTATGTGATAAACCTCTCTAGGTATTTATATGGCCTTCACCATTCTTGTATCTAAGGCCCCCACTATCATTAGAGGGGATTTTATCTTCACACCAACGCTATGAGGCAAGGAAGTAATTATTCCCACGTTACAGATAAGTAACTGAGGAAGAGAGTAGATTAATTGATGTGTCCAAGATCACAGGGTGTCTGTAGTCAAGTTAGAAACTGAACCCACGTCTTCAATCCCAGTCCAATGCCCTATTCACAAGACCATCTTTCCTACCACTCTGACTCACACAGTCCATAGGTGTGTTAACAGCAGGACCTTGGCCCCAGTAAACATAGTTGGAGCCTATATACTTGAACTCAAAACAATGTTAGCACCTTCCAAGCAAGAACAGTTTGGAAAAAAAAACCTATGATTTGAACTCTAGCATAGACAGGGCCTAAAAGAGGCTCTAGTGTTATTTATGACTCAGAGAGGAATGCTGCAATAGTTTCAGATGTCCTAAAATCAGAAGAAACTTCTTACAGTCAATGATACTAAAAATAACTGTGTGAAACCTGTTCCCCTGAATATTGGATACATGACCATTACTCAATTCCCCTTTCATAGCTTTCAGATGTTGCCAGGTCTCAATAAGGAAACACCTTAAACCTTCACTGAGGAGTATTATGGTGAAAAATGGAGAATATTTTGCAAAGAAAGGGCTGGTGGGGGTGGGAAAGATACCTCATCTCTTGCATATAGCTCAGACCAGCATGCCTGGGGTATGCACAACAAAAGCCAAAGAACTGCCATGAAAATAATTGGAAAAGTAGGAGAAAAAAAATGAAATCAAACTGCTTACAAAGGGTGAAGAGTTTACCAAAGAAGCTATTAGATGTGTAATCACCTCCATCCATACTTCATATTACTTGTTTAAGTGTAAGGGAAATGGGGGGCAGCCAAAAAATTCTGTCTCCATTGCCCAAAATTAAAAAATAGCTCTTCCTTGACACGAATATAAATTCCCAGCATATTGTATTTCCCAACACCCTTCCTCTCAATATTTCTCTGTGATTTGCTTCAGAGTTTGCTGCATTCTATGGTGCTGGACACCTTAAAAATGTGTGTAATAACAAATAAATGACAACACACTTACATAAAGGTCTGGATGCTGTGGAGTATCTCCCTCCCACTTCAGGTACTACACAAGAAAAGCTCATTACCATCCACAGGCAACATTACAGGATCTCAGCCTAAGTTCATTTCAATGAGGTGAAGAAGAGCTCTGTGCAGCTCAAAAGCTAGTCTCTTTCACCAACAGAAGTTGGTGCAATAAAAGATACACCCTCAGCCACCTTGTTTCTTCTCATTTCAATGGGGCATTTGTTGGCCATTTGATGGAAGCTCCCCTAGCTGAAGCTGGCAGGGGAGACTGAAAAGGCATTTGGGCTGGAGTCTCTTACCTGATCGTTCCAGTGGTGTAGCTGGCTGTAGCGCACCTTGCAGAAGAGGAAGCCTTCCAGGTACACAGAGTACAGCTGAAAATACACCCAAGGGGCATCAGCTTCCCTGCCTGCACAGCACCCCCATCCTCCTCCTCCACAGCCCTCCCCCCCCCCCCATTCTCCTGCCTCCCCACACAGCTCCCCTCCCTCCCTACACAGGCCCCCCATTCCCCTGCCTCCCCACACAGCTCCCCTCCCTCCCTACACAGGCCCCCCATTCCCCTGCCTCCCCACACAGCTCCCCTCCCTCCCTACACAGGCCCCCCATTCCCCTGCCTCCCCACACAGCTCCCCTCCCTCCCTACACAGGCCCCCCATTCCCCTGCCTCCCCACACAGGCCCCCCATTCCCCTGCCTCCCCACACAGCTCCCCTCCCTCCCTACACAGGCCCCCCCATTCCCCCCTCCCTCCCTACACAGGCCCCCCATTCCCCTGCCTCCCCACACAGCTCCCCTGCCCCTGCCTCCCCGCTCAGTCGCTTCGGTCCGCCCCGAGCCAAAACAGCGCTGCCCAGGAGCCGGGATCCCCGCGGCGGCGCGGCCCCCCCAACCCCAGCGGCCGTGCCGGGCAGCCGAGACACTCAACCACGTAGCGGCCCCCGAACTTCTCCAGCAGCTGCTCCGAGACGGGGATGCTGAAATGCATCTTCATGGTGCCGCACGCGGCCCGCCCGCGCTCCACCTCGCCGGGCCACAGGGGCAGGGCAGGGCAGCGGCCGCAGCATTTGTTTTCCCACGTGATAGAGGAGAGGGCGGGGAGGTCTCCTCCCTCCTGGGGGCGGTGGGCAAACCACTCATCCTGGCAGGTGATGGGACTGTCACAAACAAGGGCGGCCTCCTGTCCTGGCTCCCACTCCCAGGGCAGCGGCGGCGGCTACAACTTCCGCTCCGTTCCTCCCCCCCGCCCAATAGTTGGCCAGGCCCCTTTCATGGGTTTTATTTAACCAGGCTGGGAATCACCAGGAGAGTGCTTCCCAACCTAGAGGGATCCTTGTCTGATTTCCTGTGCTCTCCTCCTCGCTGCCCCAAATGTGGGCAAGGCCCCTGGTGTGAGGACGGATATAACAGTTGGGACATAAGCGTGTAAAGGGGCCGCTGGAGGCTGCCTTCCTTCTTTATGAGTTTTTGTCCCACCCTTCCTCTAGATGTTGGGCAGCTCCTAGCCCCAGCCTTGTAGCTTTTCGGTGCTGGCTGGGACCAGGCTCCTGATGATGAATCAGTCATGGAAACAGGTACTTACCATCCAAGGAAACAAGTTTTCAGACTCCCCCAGCCACCAGTATGCACCTAGCACCTAGGGGTTTGATTTGTCTTTGACTCTGTAATGTGGATGATAGTCCTGGCTCTGAGGCCCCTGTGTGACTCTCTAGGCACCCCTTCTGATGGGACTGAATGAGCGTCCCAGGGTGAAGAATCCTGCAGCTGTGATGTGTCTCACTCTGAAGTATTACCCAATACTCAAGCTTCACTGCAGGATCTTCATAAACAGAACAAATATCTCATTGATTTAGGATGGGCAGAATGTTATATGCTGGGCGGGAAGGGGAATTACTGAAGCAAATGAGGTTCATACAGCTTTTGCAGAAGAGGAAATAACTGGTAGGAACTCAAGTAGAAAGAATAAAGTAACATTTTGTAATATCTTTTGATCATTTAATTTGTTTAGTTTCTTCATCTTCAGCCAAATAACTGACAACTTCTGAAGTCTGATAACTTGTCAAGTCCCGAAGCAGTTACCATATTACAGAAGCAGTTACTGTGAGGCATTGTGGGACAGCAGCTGGTCATTCAGTATCTGCTCTCGCACTGTGTCAACCTCTGTAGGTCTGTGGGTGCATCACCCCAGTGCTTAATTTGTGCCAGGGCTGAGCCCTAGTACCTCTAGGTTTGGCAGTTCATAGAGGCAGTTCATTTCCTCATTTTCACTTCCTTTATTATTTGTTACATTTGCATAAAAACAGGATATGTTAAGTTTCTGCTGCTACTGTAGTTTGCCCACCTGAAATCAGCTTCTGTTGATTGTTGCCACAGCAACCAACTATGATGTTGGGAACTGTACCTGTCTGAGGGCAATAATACACTTCATATGTTTGCCCAGTGTGTTTAACTTTTTTCAGTAACTTGGTTCTCCCTCCTCCTGCAGTGGTTGGGCTTTACCAAGTAATTTATTTCAGACAGTCCAATTGTTTAAAAAGTAATGCCTGGAGTTTAGATTATTTTAAAATTAGTAGCCCCTTGTGTTGGAGGGGAGGGAAGAATGACTTTCAAGATGCGTGCCGTTGCTCGCTGAACCCAGTTGGCAAATTTTGTAATATAAGCGTAAACTTTATTTATCACATAAGAAACTACAATGTAAAACAAGGATTTTGGATTCTGTACTGAAGCAGTGACCTGGATAAAAATCTGGCTGGGGGGGTACTTAGTTCATAAATGGCAGCAAAGGAATAAGTGATGTCCCTCAGGGCTCTGTATAGTGGCTAATCTCAATTTTTATCTGTAGAACCAAAAACACGTCTCTGAACTTGCAGATGCCTGCACTGGATCTGTCATAAGTACTGTGGAGGTACAGATTTGCAGGTGGCTCTGAGAAGTTAAGTGGCAAAGGCAGCCTTCTTATAAAATATAAGCACCAGCATTTGATGAGATGAGGTGTAGTAGATGGGTTTGTATATATGTAAAATAATTTATATGGCAATCTGTGGAACTCTTGGTACTGAAAAATACAATTAAAACATTCTAAAAGTGAATGCTCTTAATTTTAAGTTTATGACATGGAAAAATCTTGGAATATATATATATGAAAAGTGTGTGCTGGTTGGACGGCCGAGGACATGATTGGTTGAGTCTTTAGTTCTTTCCATTTTGGGAGGACATAATGGGAACAAGGACTTAGTTATCAACTTTAATGATAAACGTGTGTCTAATACCTTTACAACGGATAGTGTAAGTTTACACCTTGATATGTCAGTTCTTTGTCTGTTTTGAACATCTTTGGTTCCTGACCATTTTTTACAGTTTGATAGCATTTGTTTTGTCATGTAGTTTTATGGTAATGATGAACATAGAAACTTTCTACCTTTTATTACAGACTAAGTAATGCATGTGTAATGCTGACAGACCCCGGTCATCAGCGGGCGGGATCGAACCTGGGACTTCTGAAGCTTAGTATATGACCCTCTACTGCATGAACCAAAAGCCACATGGCTCTTAGCTAATGCTGTAGCAAACTTGTTAATCTCTAGAATGGTCTAGGTGCTACTGGAGGGGAAAAGAGCACCGCATCAAGCAGGCGTAGGTTACTCATGCAAACTATAAAGTAAATGTCTTGGGGGAAGGGGTGGAGGGAATTATGACAGGTGGAAGTGATGTATATGGCTATAATTTCCTGGCCTAACAGACTGTTTTTTTTCATGGTACAAGGTGGGTGAGGTAATATGTTTTATTGGACCAGCTTCTGTTGGTAAAAGAGGCAAGCTTTTGAGCTACGCAGAGCTCTTCTTCAGCTCCATGATTTTTCATGGTTAGACAGCTTGATTGCCTTTAACTATGAATCTTATTTCTTGCCTGTCACTTAAAATGTTTCCTAGACAGCCAATTTTGACCCCTAAATATCTTTAATGTGTTAACCATGGATGGGGGGAGGGATAGCTCAGTGGTTTGAGCATTGGCCTGCTAAACCCAGGGTTGTGAGTTCAATCCTTGAGGGGGCCATTTAGGGATTTGTGGCATAAATTGGGGATTGGTCCTGCTTTGAGCAGGGGGTTGGACTAGATGACCTCCTGAGGTCCCTTCCAATCCTGAGATTCTATGATTCTATAGCCATGGCACCTCTGGGCTTGCTGCATCAGTTATGAATGTAAAAAAAATGCTTGACCCCTGTCACCTCTTTCATTACAAATTAAGCACTGCCCTATATCTAGACCAAGGCTGCCCTGCACATGTCCCCATTCATATCTCAATCCTTTCCACAAACCCTTGTTCCCACTTACCCCATACTCCCAGTGGGCTGGGCAGCTGTGTGGGTGGCATGGGGGAGATAGCTGAGGTGTAGGGAGGCCAAAAGAATCTCCATGTCCCAGGCTCTAGAGTAAGGTGTTCACTTTCCCCACCTCTGGTTTCACTCTGATTGACATGCTCTGACACACATTAGATTGTGGTGAACTATGATTTTAAATTGAGGTGGGATATTCACATGAGTAATAGGCCCAAAGCATGGAACCAGAAAGAATGAAATCATGAGAAAAAAAGAGTTGTTATGTTCAACTTGTAGTGACCGTTCAAAATACCATGTTATTTTATTTAAGGTTTGGGCTAAAGCAATAGAAATAAAACACAGTTTAATTGGGTAGCAGGTACAGTAAATAATTGGCTATATAAGAAACTCATTCATCTGGCCTTAGCTAAGGTCCAATAATTGGTACTGACATCACTTGTTTGTTAATGCATATAAAAAGGTAAATTCTTAAAGGGTTCATTGCTAATATAGTAATAGGTGATACTGGCAGTAGAGTATCTGTGCCTAATCGGGTAAAGAATGTGAGCGAAGCCAAACAGCAAAAATTAAGATGTTTGTACACTAATGCGAGGAGCCTTGGTAACAAAATGGAGGAACTAGAGCTATTGGTGCAGGAAGTGAAACCAGATATTATAGGGATAACAGAAACATGGTGGAATTGTAGTCACGACTGGAGTACAGGTATTGAAGGGTATGTGCTGTTTAGGAAAGACAGAAATAAAGGCAAAGGTGGTGGAGTAGCATTGTATATCAATCAGAGCCGGCTCTAGGATTTTTGCCGCCCCAAGCAAAAAAATGTTTGGCCGCCCCTGCTTTTTTTTTTGTGCCCCGCCCCTGGCTCTGCCCCAACTCCACCCCTTACCAACCCCTTCCCCAAATCCCCGGCCCCGCCCCCTCCCCCGGGCATGCCACATTCTCCCCCCCACATTGCTTCCTGTGGCTCCCCCCCAGCAACCCTCCGCCCTAGCTCACCTCCACTCCGCCTGCTCCCCTGAACATGCTGCCGCTCCGCTTCTCCCCCCTCCCTCTCAGGCGAGGGAGCGGCAGCGAGTTCAGGGGAGCAGGCGGAGTGGAGGTGAGCAAGGGTGGGGGGAGCTCAGGAAGTAATGGGGGGGTAGAGGAACCGCTCCCCACCCCAGCTCACCTCCGCGCCACCACTACCGCCTCCTCCAAGCTTGCCACCGCTCAGCTTCTCCTCCCTCCCAGACTTGCCGCGCGAAACAGGCAGGGGAGGTGAGGAGCGGCAGTGGTGCGTTCAGGGGAGCAGGCGGAGGTGGAGCAGGGGAGGTGGGGGCGGCGGGGGCACATTTCTAGGGGCCCCTAGAAATGTGCTGCCCCAAGCACCTGCTTGTTTTGCTGGTGCCTAGAGCTGGTCCTGATATCAATGATGAGGTAGACTGTAAAGAAATAAGAAGTGATGGAATGGATAAGACAGAGTCTGTCTGGGCAAAAATCACATTGGAGAAGAAAGCTACTAGAGCCTCCCCTGAGATAGTGCTTGGGGTGTGCTATAGACCGCCAGGATCCGATTTGGAAAAGGATAGAGACCTCTTTAATGTTTTCAATGAAGTAAATACTAATGGGAAATGTGTGATCATGGGAGACTAACTTCCCAGATATAGACTGGAGGACAAATGCTAGTAATAATAGTAGGGCTCAGATTTTCCTAGATGCTATAGCTGATTAATTCCTTCACCAAGTAGTTGCTGAACCAACAAGAGGGGATGCCATTTTAGATTTGGTTTTGGTGAGCAGTGAGGAACTCATAGAAGAAATGGTTATAGGGTACAACCTTGGTTCAAGCGATCATGAGCTAATTCAGTTCAAACTAAATGGAAGGATAAACAAAAATAGATCTG